ATTGGCCAACTAATATATATAGAAAAAATTAGCCGGGCATGGTGGCGCATGCCTATAGTCCCAGCTACTTGGGAGGCTGACGCCACGGCACTCACTGTAGCCTGGGCAATAAAGTGAGACTCTGTCTCAAAAAAAAAAAAAAAAAAAAAAAGAAGCCCAGCTATTTCATTTCTATGAGAAATTCAGTTGAAACTCTTTAAAACTTGCTTTTCTCATAGCAATAGATAATTATTATCTATTAATCTATTATTAACTATGAAGAACTTATTAAACATATAATAAGAATTAACTAATTTTATATTCCCAACAACCTTCATTTTATAGTAGAGAAAAATGAGAAATGGCATTTAGTAATTTGCCTTAGATCATACAGCTATTAGGTGGCAGAGAAAGACTTCTGAACCAGGTAACTTGACTCCATAGTCTATGTTCCTAACCACTGTGATATACTCAGTCTTATCTATCAGTTGGGAAAAATAATACTTTCTCACAGTTTGTCATAAGAATGAAGTAAGATGGGCCAGGCGTGGTGGCTCACACCTGTAATCCTAGCACTCTGAGAGGCCAAGGCGGGCGGATTGCTTGAAGTCAGGAGTTCGAAACCAGCCTGAGTAAGACCCTGTCTCTACTAAAAATAGAAAGAAATTAATTGACCAACTAAAAATATATAGAAAAAAATTAGCCGGGCATGGTGGCGCATGCCTGTAGTCCCAGCTACTCGGGAGGCTGAGGCAGGAGGATCACTTGAGCCCAGGAGATTGCGGTTGCTGTGAGCTGGGCTGACGCCACGGCACTCACTCTAGACTGGGCAACAAAGCGAGACTCTGTCTCAAAAAAAAAAAAAAAAACCAGAATGAAGTAAGATGTAAAAAGCCTAATGCCAAACCTGATGTCATACCTGACATATAATAGGCATTCAGTAAATATTTGTTTTTCTTTTCTTTTGTGGCAGGCAAATATATTTCCAGTATGATGATTTAAATGTGTAAACTAGGTTTTGTTTAAAAGATAGTATGTTTCATTTTAGTAAAAAAGGTGGGAGTTGTATTATTGGACTAAATTCTCTTGTATAGCTCTGGGGGCAGGACTGGCCTGGGAGAGGTGCAGAGCTAAGAAGCAAGGGAATCAGAGGAATAGGACCCAATGGGATCCAAATTGGAAACCAGACAGTTAAAGGATTCTGAAGAAAAGCTGGTTTGATCCTGGGGAATTCCAGAGCAGAACAAGAAGGTTTGGACTAAATAGAAGGAGCTGGTGCCTAGATCATTTCTCAGAGCTCCTAGGGTTCCCGAGTCCTTGGCAATGGGCAGAGAGGGCTCTCTTGAGGGCACTTGACCAGCCTTGACCTGGTAGAACATTCTTCTGGCCTTTGTTTTCAAATCCCCCAAATTGACAAGGAGCATTTAGTCTTTAGTATGCAATACTCAGGGAATAAATAGGCCTGGTTAGCTGTTTACAGTTATACTAGCCAAGAATCTAAATTAGAGAATTGCCTCTGGGTCCTCAACTTAGCTCTTTCTCCAGTCATCTTATCTCCTACTTCCTCAACCCCACATATGGGCCTTCCACCATTCTACCTTCAAAGTCCAGCTCAAATTCCACTCCTTCCCTGACACAGAACCGATCTCCTCTACACGTTATACTAGTAGTTGCTTCAAGTAAATCAGAAGCTTAGAGAAAGGAAAGGTCCTTGTGAGATGCAGTATTTGGAGTAGGTTTCATCAATTTGGGTCAATAGGAATGTATGTGGAGACCCATTAACAAATGCTTAGTTGGGAATATGGGGTGTTTGGGGAGGTGTGTTTTTTGTTTGTGTGTGTGTGCTTTGCATGTTAATATGGCAACCAGCAAAGATAACAGCCTTATTAGAACAGAAGACTTAGGTAGGAATTTGGAAAAGTTAAGTTTAGATTAATTGGGAGGGTAGGATCCAGGTTATGGGCAGCCTTTCAAGCTAGAAGAGTTTGATCAAGGTAGAAGAAGGGTTAGATAGATCAAGATTTGGTTAATAGTCAAGAGCCATTGTAAGTTCATGCAAGGTAAGGGCGATGCATTGTGAGATAGCTTACTTAGATCCCAGATGTCTGATTTCTTGGATTGGATGGTTTTGCTAGAACCTCTGTGTGCCTGCTCAGGGAGGCCCAGAAGAAAGGCTCACTGACAGTGTTGTGGAGCATTACTGAACTGATATTTAGTGTCCTCATATTTCAATGCACTTAATAGGAAATTAAGGAAATAGGAAAGTGCTGCTCATCTCTTGCAATTCCCTTTTCCCTTTAGTTTTTCCTGCATAGTGAGTCCCTACAGGAGACTTGACCCTAGACTGCAGCATTATCTATAAGCCAGTTCTGAATTACCTGTGATTCCGTGGTAGTGAAGAATATACAACAGTATCTGTGTGTATAACATACAGATAATATTAGATGAAGTAAATTTTACTTTCTTCACTTCTATAATTCCAGCTTTTTCTTGGGTGGTTAGATCACAGAAAAATTACTTTTGCTTTAGTTCTTTTTTTCCCTGCTTACCCATTGTGCACTAAATTAACTCAAATATACTTTTTTTTTTTTGACAGTAAAGAAGGAACAAAAGAAGGTGGTAATCTATAACTGTATCATTAACACTTAAGTAATTGCTCTGAGGAATTTATATTTTAATTTTTGATTGGGCAACTGTGTGCGGATTATTCTAAGCTGGCAATGTTAGTAATAAACTAGAGAAATTATTTCATGAAACACAAAGCATTTATCTTAACTTTAAAAAGATACAAAAACTCCAATGATTGGAAAGTAACTTTAAACCTTAAAAATATAAAAGTTTTTTTATTAAAAATTTTAAACATATAAATGTGTATATGTGTATCTATATGCACATATATTTTAAAGTAGAGAGACCAATATATTGAACCACCTTTAACCATCATCCAGATTCAATAATGGTCAAAGTTTTGCCACAATTGCCTCATCTACCCCTTTTCGTTTGCTCAAGTATTGTAAAGTGTATCTCTGATTTGTGATTTTTTTATTCCTCTGTATGTCAGTATGCATCTCTAAAAATATGGACACTTTCTTCCATGTCCACAATGCCATGGGCACATCCTATAAATAATTTCTTCTTGTCATCTAATATTTAGTACATTCATACATTTCTTCTGTTATTTGACAATATCTTTTTTACATTTGGTTTGTTCAAATTATGGTCTACGTGGGGTTGACACATTGCATTTTGTTGTTATGTCTTTGAATCTCATTTAATCTAGTGATTGAGACTTTGATAACTGGTTTTGGTGGCTGAGGGCAGGAGGGTAGTAGAAGGAGGGATGGGATGATAGATTTTAAGCCATGCTAACAGGAAACTTTTAAAGTCATAGAGCCTGCTAGGAGTAGGGAGAAGTGATCATAATATTTATGGCTGAAATAATATTTTTTAGGTTCATGTCAAATTTTAAAAATGCCTACTTTAAAGTAGTATTAATCATATATATATATATATATATATATATATGCAAATCACACAGCTGAATTTAAGTTGCTATTTGGAATGCTTACTTAGAAGCTAAAGTTGTCAGTTTTATGCCAAACTAAAATGAAGGAAAAAAAAAATCTCAAATATGTTTCTAAGTGATCTTATACTCATAACAGATTGAAAATCAATACTCTTTCTGCAGAATGTCTTCCTCAATTTGAAAAAGAGTACTTTTCCTTTGGACTTTATTTTTTATTTTCAGATATTAATTTTAGTTAAATCTAGGTACTTTCTTCCTAAGATAATTGTGTCTACCTACCACTGAATTTGCTATTTCTTGGGATAATGTTATACAATCTAGTAGGGTTTAAACATTTAAAAAAATTTAAATGTTCTTAAGCACTCTAGGATAACATATAATGTAATAGAACAGAAGCTCACTGATGGAATGTTCAAATAACCTCAGAATATTTAGGCTTCTTCCCAGATAACTTGCTTCCTTAATTCTCCACAGGATCTACTTGAAAGTTTTATTTGTAGTAGACCACGTTTTGAGAGAGATGAAGATTATTTCTAAAATATAGTTTAAAGTGTGTCCTCTTTGAATATGTATGATCCCTAGAAATATAAAACATAAATTATAGTAAACTACAAAGTTATATTCTCTTCGTTGGAAATCTTGAGTGTTATAGTGTAAAACGTCTGTGAGAGCTGGATTATCCTTCTTCAGAACTTTTTTTTGTTTGTTTGTTTGTGATAAGGCCTTGCTTTATTGCCTGGGCTAGAGTGCAGTGATGTCATCACAGCTCACTGCAGCCTCAAACTCAGTGGGCTCAAGTGATCCCCCTGCCTCAGCCTCCTGAGTAGCTGGTACTACAGGCATGTGCCACCAAGCTCGGCTTATTTTTCTGTTTTTTGGAGAGATGGGGATCTTTCTGTATTGCTTGGGCTGGTCTCGAACTCCTGGCCTCAAGGGATTCTCACCTTGGCCTCCCAAAGTGCTAGAATTACAGGCATGAGCCACAATGCCCAGCCCTTCAGAACATTTTGAATGTGGTTGCAAGCCTGCATATTAAAACATATTAATATTTTGCAAATAAGACACATACTTTACACACAGAAATGGAATCTGTTGTAAAAAATAGAATCTTTAATAGCTTCAGATCCTAAGACCTGTAATAAAAGGAAAGTAGATGAAAAGTATAAATGAAACATTTTCTAGTTCCACCCCTTTCCCAGTGTAATGATATTTATTATTTTTTAACAGTGTTGATGCACATCAATAGTTTATACGTTTACCTTTTTAAGCATTTTATTTTATATGTATATTTATTTCAAGATATTATGCGGGTGCAAATGTTTTTGTTACATGGATACCTTGTATAATGCTTAAGTCAGGGCTTTTAGTGTGCCCATTACCAGAATAGTGTTCATTGTACCCAATAAATAAGTTTTTACCCCTCACCTTCTCCCACCTGTACTTTCACCTTTTGATACCTGATAATTCCAAATGTTTGCTTATATATGCCTTTTAGGTGCCCCAATGTGAGTCTACAAAAACTGCCAGAACAGTGGTTATGGAATGTTTTAGAAGAAATTAAATGCAGTGATCCTTCATCCAAACTCTGTGCTACAAGGCGCAGTGCTGGAATTCCTTTCTACATACAGGTACTTACCTCTAGGACCATAGTTGTTTGTTTATTTGTCTTTTGATAATAGTGTATTCTAACTCTTGTGACATGTGAGTGAGCGTATAGCGTAAGGGACATGTCTGTATTTTCAGTAACCATAGCATTTGTGGCTTTGTTTTGATGTGGGGACGGTGTGTTCCTGTGACAGATCTGTTCTTGGAACAAACCCACTAAGAGGCCATTCTTGTAATATAAACGGGGTGGTATAGATTTCCACTTGTGTATTAACTAGGCAGGGATCACTTTGGCACGTTTGTTGCTCACTTCCAGGAAGTGCATGTGTTGCCCTTTTTTTTTTAATTGCAAAAAAATAGTCTTCCTTTCATTTTAAGACTCCAGATACTCTGTAGGCAACCAGTGTTAATAGTTTCCTTTAAATCCTTTCATAAAATGTCCATCCATAAAATAATCATAATCATAATAGTAGCTAATATTTATTAGTGATTATTTCACATATATTGCCTCATTAGATCCTTCCCCAAGCCCTATAAAATAGGTACTGTTGTCATCCATATATTCTAGGTGAAGAAACTGGGGTTTAGAAAGTTAAGTGACTTGCCAAAGACCACAGAGATATAATAGTAAGAGCCAAGCTAAGACTTGAGCCCAGTCACCTGACTCCTTAAACTCTCTGCATAAGAGAATATGAGTGTATGAGTATGTTTTCCTTTTGAACACAGATGAAAATATACTTATATATACTGTTTGCCCTTGATTTCACATAACATTATACCTTAAAGATTAGTCCATATCAGCACACCTACATATTACTATTGATGGGAAAATATTTTATTTTAGTGCCCTAGGCATCCACTAATCTACCTTCTATTTCTATAGATTTGCCTATTTGGGACATTTTATATAAGATCTTTTGTCTGAGTTCTTTAACTTAGCATAATGTTTTCAGGGTTCGTTCTGTAGTATATATTAGTATAGTTCATTCCTTTTTATTGCCTGAAGTGGTTTGATACCCTATTTTTATGTTTATTGGATATTGGTAATGTGTTAGACACAAAGTAGATAAGAAGCTCCTGGAAAATTCAAATATAGGGCCCCTTTGGAGTTTGTAATATTTGTTTTTGCCCCATGGAGTTTCAAATGCTATGATTCTGTTAGTTCTCCATGTATAGACTCCTCTCTGAAGAGTTAATTAGCTGTTCAATCTCCAGGCAGCTTTAAAGTCCTTACAAGAAATTTAATCTAGAGGTTTTTTGTTTTTAAGTAAGGAAAATTTTCTTGTTAGATAAATTTGTTACTAAAACTGACTGACTTTGTTGTATCGCTCAGCCTCTTAGAATTACACAATTAACAAGTAAACTGGAAGTGACTTTAAGGATGACATGATTTCATCTTCACCTAATTTTACAGATGAACAATCTGAGGGATGGCAGGATTAAACTACTTACCCAAGGCCACATGGCTTAATTAACTTGCCTTGATAACCACATGTCTTTATAAAGCAGATTTTGCATTTTGAGATTAATCCAGGAACGCAGAAAATAAGTATATGTAAAATAAGAGCCCTGTTAATTTTTGTCTTGTTTTTCCATAGGCACTGTTGGCATCTGAACCAAAGAAAGGCAAAATGGATTTGTTGAAAATAACTATGAAAGAGTTAATCTCTTTGGCTGGGCCTATAGATGACTCACAGAGCACAGTCCCTCAGGTAATAATGGAAATACTCAAACCCTTTTAGGAAGGCAGTCTTTCTAAATCTTTGCTGAATTAAAAAAAAAAGTATCTGCTAGAGAAAAGAACTCTTAAAGATTGGACATTTAAAGCTTTTGTCCTTTTTTCTTTTTGGTCTCTCCTGTCCACAAAATAAACCATTGGTTTAGTTGATATATATTGATCAAAAATGAACTATTTTAAAATTTTGGTGGAAACATCCAACTTATATTAAGATATTTTATAATATTATTATTATATCTAAAAATTTGAAAGTGAATATGCTATTAATTTAGAATTTCACATGGGTTTCTTCGAGTTAATGTACATTTTGTAACGTAGCAATTGAGTCTTTCCTTTAAATGTAGTATCTAACTTTTGGTTTACTCACATTTTAGTTTCAGCTAATATTTACTCCCTTTTAGTCACTACCTGTATGTAAGAGTTGGTTTAAGCACTCCTCACAACTCCACTCCACTGCTAGGGAGTAAATACCTGTCAAATATTGCCTGCACCTTATAGTTTGGGCTTCCGCAGTAATGCTTCATATAGTACGACTCTCCTACCCTTGGCTGTATTTGTTCTATTGCTTTTCCATATAAGTTTTAGAATCAGCTTGTTAAGTTCAGCAAAAAGCTCTTTTGGAATTTTGATTAGAATTGAAATGTATTGATTTATTTGGGAAAAATGACTTTTATTTTGTATTGAGTCTTCTACTAACATAGCTTATTTCTCCATTTAGGAGCTTCCTTAATGTTGTTCATTATTTTTAAAAATAATTTTCTGTTAAATCTTATAGATCTTTTTTAAAATTTATTTATAGATATCCTAATTTTTTATAATTATGAATGGTATGTTAAACATTTATATTATCTGTTACTGTTATTGTATGAATGCAATTACGTTTTTTTGGTTATTGTACTTATATTCAGCAACCTACCTGATTTGCTGTAATATTGCTAGTGACTTACCTATAAATTTTTCAGATTTTCTTTGTGGATAATCATATCCTCATATGCTAAGTTTGTTTCACCTTTCTAATTCTTAGTCTTAAAATTTTTTTATCTTATTCTGCTGCTGGAACTCATAGTAGAGTTTTGTGTAGAAATAGAACATCTTTATGTTCTTTCTGATATTTGCTGTACTTTTTCATCTGCCTTTTTTCTTATTAAGGAAATTGAATTTTATTGAATGTTTTCCTGCATCTTTTGAGATAAATATATGTTTTCTTCTAGAATTTGTAAATATCATTAATCATATTGATTTTTAAATTTAATACTATTTTTGCATACTGGGAATTAACCCAACTTTGACATGATGAGTTTTTTTATACATTGCTGGATTCACTTAAAAATACTTTTTGCATATTTTTTCTGGGTTCATAAGTGAAATTAGCCTGTGGTTTTCCTTTTTTCTGCTGTCCCTTGTCCTTTTTTTTTTTTTTTTTTTTTTTTTGAGACACAGAGTCTTGCCCCTGGTAGAGTGCACTGGCAACATCATGGCTCACTGTAGTCTCCATCTCCTGGGCTCAAGTGATTCTCTTGACTTAGCCTCCCGAGTAGCTGGCACTGCAAGCATGGGCCCTGCCACCTGGCTAATTATTTTTGGTAGAGATGAGGTTTCGCTCTTGCTCAAGCTGGTCTTGAACTTCTGAGCTTAAGCAATCTGCCCCCCCCTTGGCCTCCCAGAGTGGTAGGATTACAGGCATGAGCCACTGTGCCCGGCCTCTATACTATTTTTTTTTAATATGTGTACTTTAATGAAATTATAGTACACATATAGAGAAGTGTACAAATTATATGTGTACCTTAATACATTTTCACAAAGTGAACACACTTGTGTAACGAGCAAGAAATAGAACATTTCTAGCACCTGAAAGCCCCCTCAATGCTCTCTTCTAATCAGTACCTTCTCTCCCAGAGTAACCACTAGCCTAACTTCCAACACCTTAGTTTTAGTTTTACCTGTTTTTAAAATTTCACATAAATATAGCTATACATCATAACCCTTACTCTTGATATGGTTTCTTTTGGTCAGCATTGTGTTTATGATATTCATTCATGTTTTAATTTATTCATTCTCATTGCTGTATATAATTTATCTGTTCTACTGTTGATGAACATTTGGATAATTTTTAATTTGGGTTTATTAAGAATAGTACTTTTAGGAGCATTCTTGTATATCCTTAATGGTGAACATATATGTACATTTCTGTTGAGTATATGCTTAGGAATGTGGTTAATGGGTATGTGTATATTGAGCTTTAGAATACTAGATACTACCATTTTCCCAAAGTACAGTCCTTAACTTGTTTTGATATTCAGACTATTCTAGACTCATAAAATAAATTCGGGAGTCTTCTTTTAATAGTTTATTTAAGATTGGGATTATCTATTCTCTGAATGTTTATAGAATCCATCTGTAAAATCATGTGAGTCAATTTTTTGTTGTGGTGATTAATTTCTGGGCTTTGGTTTTTTTTAGTCTCTGGGGTGATTTTTTTTTTTAATGATAACATCTGTCTAGGTTTTCGATTTCTCTTTGAATTTGTTTTGATAAATTTTATTTTCTAGGAAGTTGTTTATTTTGCCTTAATTTTTCAAATTAGTTAGAATAGGATTATTTATAATATTATTTTTGATTTATTCTCTGCTATATCTATAGTCATGTCCACTTCAGCATTCATAATATTGCTCATTTGTGCCTTCTCTCTTTTCATCTTGGTTAGTCTTGTTAGAAGTTTGTTCCTGTTTCAAAGAATCAACTTTTGGTTTTTGTCTTTTTTAAAAAAATTTCTTTTTGAGATAAGGTCTTGCTCTTGCTCTGTCATCCAGGCTGGAGTGTACTGATAGGATCATAATTTACTGCAACCTCCAAATCCTGGTGTCAAGTGATTCTCTCTCTTCAGACTTTTGAGTAGCTAGAACTACAGGTGCATGCCGCCACAGCTGGCTAAGTTTTTAAATTTTTTGTAGAGTCAGTTCTTGTTGTGTTGCCCAGGCTGGTCTTGAATTCCTGGTCTCACAAGATCCTCCCACTTCAGTCTCCCAAAGTGCTGGGATTGCAGGTGTGAGACACTGTGCCTGGTCAGGTTTTGGTTTTGCTAATGCTCTTGTTGTATCTTTGCTATTTTAAAAATTTCTGCTTTTGTCTTTTTATTTTCTTTCTATATGTTGAGTTTATTGGGTTTTTAAAATTATCTTAATTGGATACTTGGCACATTCATTTTTAGTCATTTTTAAAAATAGAAGTAATTAAGGTGTCCATTTCCTTTTTCAAGTTCCACTTAAGCTGCATCCTACAAGTATTGATATATATAGCATCTTCATTACTGTTCAGCTCTAAATAATAAAAATATTTTTTGACTAGTGTTTTGATGTGTTTTAAAATGTATCAATTTAGAAAGCATTTTTTAAAAAACTATATCTAACTTAATTCCTCTGTGATGAGAGTATAATCTATAAATTATTAACTATTTTTGGTATTTGTCGAGATTTTATTTGCGGCTAGGTTTGAGGTCATTTTAAAAAATATTCTGCATGTTCTTGAAAAGAAGGTATTGTCTCTATTTGTAAGGTGCAGGATTCTACATATGTCCATTTGATCAAGATTTTTTATTGCGTTGTTCAAATCTTTTTACAAATTGGCTTATCGATTAGTGAGTGTGTTTTATTAAATCTGCTAGTTCATTTGTGGGTTGTCCATGTCTTCTTGGAATTCTGTAATTTTTTGTTTTGAGGGTGTGCTGTTAGATATGCACACATTTAGAATTTCCATGATTTTCAACCTGCAACTAATTTTGAACTTTTTCTTCTAGGTTCATGCTTTAAATATCCTTAGAGCATTATTCAGGGATACACGTCTGGGAGAAAATGTTATTCCTTATGTTGCTGATGGAGCTAAGGCTGCAATTCTGGGTTTTACATCACCGGTCTGGGCAGTAAGTGCCTTTTCAGTTCTTTTGGATATATCATATGGTAGTTCTTTAACTTTTTGAGGAACCAAGAAACCATTTTCCACAGCAGTAGCACCATTTTACACTCCCATCAATTTCTTGACATCTTTACCAACACCTATTATTTTCCATTTCTTTAATAATAGTTATCCTTAATGGGTGTGAGGTTTTATCTCCTTCTGGTTTGGTTTGTATTTCCCTGATTAGTGTTATTGATCTGGAAGCAGAACAACTCTTGGTAGCTTAATATGTCTGTCTTTTGGATGCTGTGGTTTCTAGGTATCAGTGTGTTGAGTGAGTGCAACAAATATACTCTGTCAAAAGTTGCAAAGACAAACACAAAACATTAAAATGGAGGAGGTAAATAGACACTTTTCACTTTTCTTTTTCTCACATTTTCTTTTATAATATGGTCAATGTCCGAATACCTTTTGATTGATTTTTTTTTGCTATTATAATTTTTAAATTTCAGAATATTACAGGGCTACAAACATTTTGATTACACGAATTACTTTTATATAGTTTGAGTCAAAATTATAAACGTATTGGCTGGGCACGGCGGCTTATGCCTGTAATCCTAGTACTCTTGGAGGCTAACGTGGGAGGACTGCTTGAGCTCAGGAGTTTGAGACCAGCCTTAGCTAGAGTAAGACTCTGTCTCTACTAAAAAATAGAAAGAGATTAGCCAAGTAACTAAACATAGAAAAAATTAGCTGCGCATGCCTATAATCCCAGCTACCCGGGAGGCTGAGGCAGGAGAATCGCTTAAGCCCAGGAATTTGAGGTTGCTGTGAGCTAGGCTGATGCCACTGCACTCTATCCCAGGCAAGAGAGGGAGACTCTGTCTCAAAAAAAAAAAAAGTTGTAAGTGTATCCTTCACCCAGATATGTGCATTGTACCTGTTAGGTGTGAATTTACTCATCCCCCCTCCTTCCTCCTTCCCAATTTTTGGATTTAAAAAAGTAAACTTTAATGTATTTTTTCATGTTTCTTGAGAGAAACACCATGGTTTTGTTTTCTATATCATTGTGTCTCCTAGAATAAGGAGAATAACCTATGGTTTGTAGATGCTTGAAATGTGGCTTTAAAACAAAAAGATCCTGGCAAAGGAAGAGGAGAAAAGATGCTAGATCTTAACATATTACCTGCAGAATGAGGTATTTACTAGAAAGGCAGGCTTTTCAATTAGTGAGCTGTACAAACCATTTCATACCTGTATGATAAATGTCTAATTGAGAGTCAGTGTATAGATAACAGTGGCAGCCAAAGTCACAGACTGCCAGTGTGAAGAAGAATCTTAAAGGTTGCCAACTCTTGGCTAGAAAATTGTGTATCTTCCTATAATAGATACACATTTCTGGAATTCTCTCTGGAAGCATTGCATAACTACTCTTGAGAACACAATGTTTACCTTTTGCATTTACAGGAAGCAGAGCAATACCTGTATATGGTCAGTAGAGATAGGAATGTGGTTTGACTATCAGGAAAACTAGAGATCACAATACTGATTGCTGGAAATATCAGTATTGTTTTTTTCAAACCATTAATTCCAGGTGAACCAAGAAATATTTTTTGTGAAAAGGCTTTCAGAGATTAAAACCTGGTGATTCTTCCAACTTTTTAGCAAAACTGAAAGTGTCATACATGAATGATTCATCTTTTTGAAGAGTATTTCTTGAGATCCTAAATAGTAATACATGTACATTTTAGAAATTTTGAAAATAAAGGAAATTATAACATGAACAATAAAAGTCACCTGTTAATCACCATATAGATATACTCATTATTACCATTCTGATATATTTTCTTTCACTTTTTTATGTGTGGGCTTTATCAAATGTAAATAGTACGCATATGTGTGCATATTCACAAAAGACTGCATAAATATATATAAGTACTTACATTTTATTTCTAATTTTATAATTCTAATAATTTTATTTCTTGGAACCCTTTTAACATTAGTTATGAAGGGATCTTTTGTTTCTATTGAGTTTGCTTTACTGGAGAAAATAAACATTATAGCTTATCATAATCAATACTGTTACTTTAATATTGACAGTTATGTTTCCTTCCTTATAAAAACTTAATCTAAGACAAACCAAAATGATAAACTAACTTAATCAATGGATATAAAGAAGTCTTCTTTTACACAACAATTTACCATTCCATTCTCTGTTGAAGTGATTTAAGGGGTGATTTTTTCTTTAGTGCATGTGAAATATGGTTTGATTTACAGAAACTTGATTTGTACACATCCTTTCAGAAAGGTATCTGTGCCTAATGTTGGCTACATCTGTACTTTTTTTTTTTTTTTTTCGATTAGATCAAACAGAAGAAATACATCTGTACTTTTGACTTGATTCTTTTTCCTTATCTCAGTAGGTTCTGTTTTTCAGGTAGATTCTGTTACAATCATCATTTTACAGATATAGAAAATAAGGCTCAGAGAAGTGAAATAACTTTTCCTGAGAGGAAAAACATGCATGGTAAATGAACTTAATTATCAGAAAAGGAACATTTTTCAGAAAGCATTCATGTATATATCTAATTTGTTTTTACAGGTTCCTCAATCTTTGCCACCTACTAAGCATTTCTAAAATACAGGGAAAATGTATTGTGTAAACATGTTAAGCATTAGACACACCCACTATATTGCAGATGATATATTAAGCACAAGAAATACAAGGATAAATAATCATAATGACAGTCTTATTGAGTATTTTTCATGTATGTGGCATCACTTACATTGATTATCTCAGTAGGTTCTATTTTTTAGGTAGGTTCTGTTATAATCCTCATTTTACAGATATACAAAATAAGGCTCAGACAGGGGAAATAATTTTGCCTAAGGACACACAACTGTTATCTGTGACTCCAGAATTTTTGCTATTGTAGAGGAAAGTTTTGGGTGTTATAGGAATACGAGAAGGTGTCTTTTATCTACCTTGTAGGGTTTTGGCCCTGTTTTCTTAGAAAACAGAGCTGGAAGTTATACACATGGGATAAAATAATACTGGGCCATTATAAATTGAGGTGAAGTAACCATTTTCATCTCTTGTGCATGGACTAGACATTGTTTTTGGTATGATATAGTCTCAGTGTCCTGTGTAAGCCATTTTTGTTTGTTTGTTTTTTGAGACAGAGTCTTACTCTGTTGCCCAGGCCAGAGTGCCGTGGCGTCAGCCTAGCTCACAGCAACCTCAAACTCCTGGGGCTTTTAAGCAGTCTCCTGGCCTCAGCCTCCCGAGTAGCTGGTCTACAGGCACATGCCACCATGTCCGGCTAATTTTTTCTATATTTTTTAGTTGGCTAATTAATTTCTTTCTATTTTAGTAGAGACGGGGTCTCTCTCTTGCTCAGGCTGGTTTGAGCTCCTGACCTTGAGCGATCCTTCCGCCTTGCCTCCCAGAGTGCTAGATTACAGGCATGCTACCATGCCAGCCCTGTGGTAAGCCAAATTTATCAAGGGCACTTGCAATCAGTTACTGTGTACATTTGTTTTATAAAAATACCATTTAAGAATTTTTTTTGTTGGTTTTTAATGCACCAAGCTCGTACCGTGCACACAGTTTCTTACATGGGCAACATGATTTCATGTGTGATGAAATGGAAACGCTCTTTACATGATGCTCTTTGTGTAGTGAAAGATTTTGGAGTCAAATTCGTGGTCCAGGTGGGGGTGCTGTAGAAGCAGCCTCTTCCCATAATCCGTTGAAAACTATGCAACCAGGCACTGGGAATCTGGGACAAGCTTGCTATGCCCGAGTTGCAAGATCTCTTCTCTTCTTATTCCTAATAACTGGCAGTCTAAGCTGCCCAGGACTCCCACCAGATCTGGGTTGCCAAGCTAAGAGCTTTCAATAACGAGGGCTCAGTATTTTTTTTTTTTTTTAATTTTTTATTTTTTTTCTCAGACTAATAAATCTAAAATGATTGCTTGATTTGTTCAATGGTAATACCTCGAAGACCAACACAAACAGGCTGGTGTGTTTGAAACCACCATAGTTAAAGAGTTTGAAATTTGCAGCAGAAGCTGCATTACCGATTCCTATGCATTGATGACTATTATTAAGTTACATCCAGAAAGCCAAAGAGAGGAAAGCCATTGAGGTTATGGAAAAAAAGTGCTGTTCACTCCCTGGACCCTTGATGACTTAATCTGATTCTTTGTATTTATAACAATGTTAGTGCAATGTTTTGTACTGCTTGAGTATACACATTAAAATACAGCCAAGCTGTCAAAAAAAAGATAAAAGAAAACAGAAGCTGGAGGTAAAGCCTAGTTCCCTTTCTTTTTAAATGATTACAACCCAAAGCAACAGAATGAAAGAAAATGAATGTTAAGCAGGAAAAAGGAGAAGAGATTACCAAGTAGGCCTAACTTTGTGGGAAAACTGAGGCGGTTGTCTTGCTCCTGGTATATCTTCTAACCAGCCCAGTGAAACTAGCACTTCTTTGCACACTCTGATCTCTGTCTCTTATTAGTCAAAGTTCACTCCTTTGAGGCATCAGCACAACTTGGGCAGCGGCTAGGGAATCCAGTTCCCATTCCCTGTAATGTAGCATCCAGCTGAGTCTGGAAATGGCTGGATGAACCAGGGCCTTTCTTGGGGTGTAGTTGGGACAGACCTGGGGTTTTGAAATAATGTACTCCTACTGCTGTTGAAAAACCTGCATAAAAGAGGTGAACAGCAGGGAGTGTGGATTTGATTGATATAGGTACAGTTGAAGACTGATTGTAATTGTGGCAAGGGGGAAGGAAGGAACGGACGAACGAGGAAGCTAACTTGCCATAATTTACCAAAAAGATTGATGGGCGACTCCAAGAACTCCCGGAGAAGTATTTAGTAAAGATAGTGAGAAGTGATAGTCTTTGACATATACTTTGGAGATGAAACCAGTTTAGTTAAAAATTTAGGTAACAAAGTAATTTATAGATTCATATATATGGAACCTGAGAATTTTCTGGGCACTTCTGTTTAAA